GCTGAGCTCCGCTCCGCTTTCCCTTCCCCGCCCGTCCCGGCACAGCCGCAGCACGAGCACTCGCTGCCCGGTGACGAGGAGAGATGAATCCCCATCCATGGAAAAACCATGGAATCGTAGAGTTTTAGGGGTTGGAATCGACCTTATAGATCATCCAGCCCCAACGCTCTGCCCTGGCAGGGACACCTCCCTGCTAGACCACGTTGTTCAAGGCCTGGCTTAATGGGAATCCTTAGTGGGAATCCCCCTGGAGGCACAGGGACCCCCGGAGTGGTGCTGGGAACACCAGTGTGAACTCCAGAGAGAACTTTCTCCTCAGCCTGGAGTCGATGCTGCTCCGAGCACAGAGCGAGGGCAGCAGCGATGCTGAACAGGGCACGAGGTGCTGCTCGGGGGATGCCGAGTGTCTCCTGGGGACACATCCAGGGCTCTGACAGCTCAGCTTTGTACCAAGTGCTGGGACTGCTCTCTGATGTGCCTGCAGCAGGGTGGGCTCTGTGCAAAAAGAGGTTTTGGTGTGTGTCCTGGCAGAACAGGGGCCGTGGGCTGGCACAGCCTCGCTGCCAGCTCGGGAGCTGCCACCAGCGCAGGGACGCTGGCGGTGCCTGAACACCTGCACGGGGCTGCTCACAGCAGTGAGGGAACGACTGGTCCCCAAACCCTTGTAATCTTTCTGGTGGTCGGTGTGGTTCCTTGCTCTTCTGGAACAGAATGTGCCCTGCTGTGCTCCGAGTCGGAAGGGCCTCCCTGCCCTTTCTCTTACTGACTGGCGTTGGCTTTGCTCCCATCTTCTGGGATGTGAGTCTGCCTGCTTGCCATGTCCTTGCTGCTGCTTTTTAATCCTTGATTGTCTTTTCTTTACCCCTGTGCTGACCTTGTTTACTCTGTTTCCTCCAAATTTCCCTCACAACTCACCTGTTGGCTTCAGCTGTTTGCTAATGGTGTGGTTGGTGGCCCTGAGGCAGGTTGGGTTGTGTTCCCTGGCAGGTGCACACGAGTGCAAAGCTGTGAGGGTTTGAGGACTTTGGTGGTGGGAAGCTCATCAGAACTCACACCATGCTGAGGATGAAGTGTCCTGTCTCTATTCTCTTGACTCATCCCAGCCGCTCTTGAGGCGTGTGAAGGGAGTGGAAAGGCCCTGTGTCTGGGTGGGGACATCGGTACAAAAGGAAGAGCTGCTGTGATCCAAGATGCCAAGGCAGAAGGGCTGTGCTTTGGAGGAGGTAAGATGTGTGCAGGGGTCATTAAGGTATTTTTAGGTTAGTGTTTTTTTGGAAGCAGGGTTTTAACTGCAGCTGTTTGAAGTGTGCAGCTAGAAATGGGGTGGTGTCGTGGAAGGCAGCGGAAGACTTTCTACCTGAAGTACCAGGTGATTACTGACTGAAATGACAGACAGGTGTCTAGTTTCTGATTAGGACTTACCAGGAAGCTGGTTGGTTTCAGCCCCTCGCTGGCTGTCTGAGCATGAGGTGTCCACACGGACACACTGGAGCTCTGCAGCTGCTGCATGAGGTGTCAGACACTTGTGGGTGGTGTCTGTCGGTGCTGAACGTGGGCAGCAAGACAGGTAGCCAGGAGTGTGGGGTATGGGCAGTGGGGGCACAGGGCTGTGAAGAGCTCTCAGTAGGCAAAGAGAGTGGTTGGGGTTATGGAATGATGTGCTTGTGGGTTTTCTTTTATAAGGAGTTTTCTTCTGTGAGATCTGACATCCTGTTAAGCTGAAACCGTTGAGAGCTGGATGAGAAATTGCCAGAGCCTTCTGCTTTTGGAAATGTCTCATCTTTGCACTAAAGAATGATCCCTGTGCTGCCCACTACACGCTGTGTCCTGCAGTGGCTTGGCTCATTTCTGTGACAGGCCAGTAGTGCATGCATGTCCTTAGCTCCCTGTGTTCCTGGATGCTCAGTGGGGAGAGCGTGGGCCGATAGGGCCTGGAGGCAGCACTGTGGCTTTCCCATGTGTTCTCTTGTTCCTGGCAGTAGGTGCTTTGCTCTGTGGTGTGCAGCATGCCGCGTGCTGAGCATGGATGATGAATGAGGTGTCTGGCTGACCTCTCTGCAATAGTGAAGCTCCTAATAGGCTCAATGCTTTGTCATTGGGAGGCTGAGCCCAAACTGAAGGTTAATGTTCCTGCAGGCAGGATCAAACAAACAGGGCACTAACTCGTTACATCAGGCAGGAACTTCCCAGACTCCCTGGTCAGGCCTTTTCCTTCTGCTGCTCTCTCAGCTGTGTGCAGCACCTACCTGTGCTCTTTGTGGGCAATGTCTGCAGAGGTAGTTGTTCAACAACTGCACTGTCGGTCGTAGAGAGCTGTCCTTTCTCTGCTGTTCCTGGAGGTGTGGTCATGGGTAAGTTTCAGGCTGGTAGGTGCCCACACAGTTTCTGGCTATTCAGTTTTCTCCTTACTCCTGAATTTTTGTGGCGTAGTCACGTGCTTCAAAGCAACAGGCTGTGCCCTGCACGCGGCGGTGCTGTCGCTCGCTGCATGCTAGGTGCTGCTTTGTACAGCCTCACCTCAAAACTCTCCTGAAGTCCTACCTGTGTACTTTGTACGACTCAGAGTGTCTTTTTGAGCCACTGTTACCTGTATGACTCTTTGGTGATGCTGCTGTACTTCTTGCAACATTACAGCTCACTCAGAAACCCAAGGGTGTTACCTTTTCCTGATTCTCCTTCCCGTCCCACTGGGAGCAGCAAGTGACTGTGTGGGACTTAGTTCCTGTCTGGGGTTAAACCATTACAGTTATTCTGAGTGCCCAACATGGGGCACAGAGAGTTGAAATAATGACAGATCTGACCAGAGCATGTTAAAACAAAGTTGCTACAAGCATTTAATATGTTAGTTTAATAGTTGCTGGTCACAATGTTGATTTATTTGCTGTCAGAGTTGTTCTGCTTGTTGTCAGAGTTGTGCCATGGAACACGTGCTAGTCTGAGCATCACCAAAGGTGCTTTTCATCTTAGAATCCCAGATGGTTTGAGTTGAGAGGGACCTTAAATCTCATCCAGTCCCACCTCCTGCCATGGGCAGGGACACCTTCCACCAGCCCAGGTTGCTCCAAGCCCTGTCCAGCCTGGCCTGGAACACTCCCAGGGATGGAGCAGCCACAGTTTCTCTGGGAAACCTGTGCCAGTGCCTCAACAGGAAAGAATTTCTCCCTAATATCCAATCTCACCCTGCTCTCTGGCAGTTTGAAACCATTGCCCCTTGTCCTGATAATATCTGCCTGCATAAAAGTCCCTCTCCCTCCTTTTTATAAGTCTGCTTGAGGGACTGGAGGGCTTCAGTGAGGTTTCCCTGCCCCAGCTCAGCCTGTCTCCGGTGCAGAGGTGCTCCAGCTAAGGCTTGTGGCAGTTGGAGCAGCAGCTGCAGCCCGAGCTGACTGTCAGGGACAGGGACACCAAGTGGCTGAGACAAACGCTGCTCACCAACAGCTCAGACACCACATGCCTTTAGTATTGGATGGATCGGGAATGATTTAATTATTCGTGTAAGATGACGTAGTGCGTCAAGCAGTATTTTTTGCTAATAGCTGACATTTTATAGTCTTGCTTTCTGTTGAAGTTTACACTGGAAGACTGATGTCAAACCAATGTGCTGGAGAAAAAGTAGAAATTGTATTTTCTCAGGATAGTGTTTGCAGTTGTGCTGAGGCTGAAACGACTGAGCTCAAGGGCAAGGCTTGCAGACAGTTAATAAGAGTAGGTGTGATAGAGTGTGTTATCTCCCTCTCCAGACTCATCCTGCCTGTGCTCCCAGGCTGCTGCCCTGCAGCAGAGTACCTGCACTGGATGGGAGTGGTGTGTGGTGAAGGAGACCTTTAATCATTAATTAAAAGTGACAGCAAAAGAACTTTGCAAAACAGAAGAATTAGAGCATGTTTGAAACTGCAATGGTTTCACGGTTGGAGTTGAAATTAATTTATGTGAAGTTCAAGTTAATTTGGCAAAATTGATCTTGTTCTAATACAGAGTTGGTGTTAAAACTTTAAAATGTCAGTTCTTCCAGCACTGCATGTTGTCTTTCCCATAAATTTAAAGGACTTCTCTCCAGATGCGACTTAGACAATTTTCTTCATCCATTTTTGTAATGAATTTCATGGTGGTTTTATTTCTTGGTTTTGTATAAGTGGGAGAAGCACTTACACTGTTTTACAGACAGCTTCTATAGCTATCTCTTCTCTTCCTTCTCTACTTGACTTTGGAAGGATAAATACTTTCATATTTTTTGAAAAAGCTGCAGAAGGCTCAATGGTTATTATTGTGAACTTGCACAAGGAATTCCACATGTACTGCAAATTGTAAAGGGGAATTCATTACAGACTTTGCTCTCAGGGTCTTTTTTTCCTTTCTAGCTGCCCAGCTGAGCGACGGGAGGTGCTGCCCTTCCTGAACCATTTGCACCAGGAGCACATGGACGTGATGAAGGTAGGACACCATGGCCAGGCCCTGTACAGGGCTCCACTCTACCTTTGCTGCCTCCCTTCCTCTTGCTGAGTGGTGCCAGCTGGTGCCTTTCCTTTGCACAGCAGCAAACTCCCAGCCCTTGGTAGTGGTGGTCTGTGAAAAACCACATTAACCAGAAGAATTGTTAACATCATCAGCTGGGAGCTTTATGTGTGCACCTGGAGGCTGTGAAGGATTGAGTGAGCAGAAGAGCTGTTTGATGTGTGTTGGGAAGCTTCCTTTTCACATCCCACTGTGAGGCAGAGCCTCCCCTTGGTTTATTTTATTAGTTTTGCCCCAGACCTGGGTTAACAGACTCCTCCTTGCTTCCACTGTTTGCTGTGTCCAGCAGATTCTCCCAGTGGTGTATGTTGGTTTAGCTGGGGCCAGGGCAGCACACATTCCATCTGCTGGAGCCCTTCCAGCTCAGTGACCAAGGGTAAAGAGCACAGGAAAACCTTTTTTACTTCAGTATTTTCCTAAGATACCTGTGTGATGGAATGGTTTCACCTGCTGTTTGGAGGCAAGGATTATGTGTGTTTGTCTTCCTTACTGAGTCCCTGCAGTTACTGAGATGTCTCTTCAAATGTGTGTTTGTCAGGGAGTATTTCCTTCAGATTTCAGTTATCTTTGGGGGTTGCATTTTGTTTTCTGGAAAAAAGAATCGTAATTTTCACCCTGCAAAATTTCACTTGATTTTAGAAATCAAGAACAGTGTCAAACCAGACATTCTATGTTGGATCTCTCAGACATGCTTTGCAGCATCCTGCTTTAATTGGAATAGCAGGTTAGTAAAGTCAGTGGTTTTCTCAGGTGTTGAGTTCTGGAATTGCACAGGCGCAGGTAACATTTTTGGTGATTTTGACTTTAATTCCTTTGCTATGTGGAACAGGCAGATTGATCTTTTTTGATGTCAGGCTAGTGTTTCTCCAAGGTGTTCCCTGTCAGGGTGTTCAGGCACTGGAATAGGTTTGCCCAGAGACATGGTGGACTCACCATTCCTGGAAGTGTTTAAGAAGCATCTGAATGTGGTGTTGGAAGATGTGGTTTGGAGTTGAGGGGTTACAGCAATGACAGGTTAATGGGTGGACTTAATGATCTTAGCGGTCTCCTCCAACCCTGATGATTCTATGATAGATTCAGTTGTGCAGAGCAGCTGTGGCTGCCCCATCCCTGGAAATGTTCAAGGCCAGGTTGGATGGAGCTTGGAGCACCCTGGGTTAGTGGAAGGTGTCCCTGCTCATGGCAGAAGGTGGGACTGGATGAGCTCTAGGGTCCCTTCCCACCCAAACCATTCCCTGATTCTCTGATAGATGTTGATACAGGGTTGGCAGGGTGTGGCTCTTTTGGAGGAGAAGATGAACAATCTCTCCCACCTGACCATTCTAGATATCCTTTACCTTGGTGCCTGTTTCTTTTCAAAGTCACATTTTAAATGTTAATGACACTATTTCTTGGCTTTTTGTAGGTTTTTAACGATCCTATCCACGGACACATTGAAGTCCATCCCCTGCTCGTGCAGATCATCGACACTCCCCAGTTCCAGCGCCTCCGCTACATCAAGCAGCTGGGGGGTACTTACTTTGTGTTCCCAGGAGCCTCTCACAACCGCTTTGAGCACTCCATAGGGTAAGGTGCTGCTTCTGGCACTCATGTTCTGGTTTCTCTGGGTTTGGTTCCACTGCTGTGGAGTGCCAGCCAAGGGCAGTGCTGTCTGAGCATTGGTGACTCTGGTGGTTTTTTGGTCTCGTGTGTGTGCCTGGGTATCCTGTGTGATTATGGGCTGTGCCCTTGAATGTCTTTTAATAAGGACAAATAAAGAAACCTCCTAGACAGATCAATGTTAGATTTCCTCAGCCACTCTTTCTTATTCTAAAAATAACTAAAACCTCTGAGTGCTTCATGTTACCCCAGTCAAAATTTCAGTTTTAAGGCATAACCCTAGTAAGGTACCAGAGCTGCTCTAAATGACTTGCTAGACGTCTGTAATCCCCTTACATTGTCCAGGCAGCTAAACTCCATTTGATCTGTGATGTTGCATTTATAGTTACATGTGCTTTATGCAACTGATGGCAGGTTGTAGCTGGAATTCGGTTAAGCAGAAACAGATGATGGATGCAAGGATTCCTAGAGAAGCTGATTAATGATAAATTTAAGCTTGTTTCAAGGGTGTATGGCAAGGTGCAGAGAGTTAAGCTAATCAGTGGTTTTCATTCAGGTGATCTGGACAGCCTAAAATTGCTTTTATTGGTGCTGAAATGTGGTGGAGTAAGTGACTTATAACGAGGTGCAAATGGCTGTTGCAGAAGGGTGAGGTCTTGAGGCAGGCTGGATTGGTTGCCTCTGGTGAACCTGCAGAGACAGAAATGTGTTTGAATATGAACAAAGCTTTCACAACAGAAGTGTGAAAACTCCAGTGGTATCAGCAACCTTTTCTTTTGAGCAGTTCAAATGATCTATAGAGTTCAGTTTAGGACAGTTGTTCTCAACTTGTATATATTACTTTGAAGATTTCTACAGCATTAAGGTAAAAGAAGTGAACTTTGTGTGCTTAGCTGTCAGTAAAAAAACACCAAACAGTAAAATTTCATCTAATAAAAGATACTATCTCATCACAGAAAACCTTGTCTTGCTTTACACTGTTCTGCAAGGGGAGTGTTGAGGCAGGTAGAAAAGAAGTTTGTGTAGAGCTGGAAACAGTTGATGGGAATATGTGCCATATATTCACTCCTGTGGGTTTTGTATTGTGAGAACAGAGGGTCCTAATCAATTAAATCAAATGGCAAATCTAAAATGAATTAATCTAAATTGAGTTAACAAAGAACTAGTAATTCAGACTGCTCAAACTCATGTACAGGGACAAATTGCTAGCAGTGCTCTGCAAGGGAATGTAGATCAACATTTTCCCTTCTTTAACCCGAGTGATGTAGGAAACCATGCTATGTTCACTAGGTCCAGATTACTAGTTCAATTTGGATTAGAACATACTATCCTAAAGCAGTAAATTGGGCACCCTTGTATAATGTTAAACAAGGAAACAAAAAGAAACTCCCACAGAATTCTTAGACTGAGAGATGCCTTGCAAAAATATACCACCTTAGACCCCTCGTCTGATTCTGGAAACCATCAGCTGGTATCAGTGATGATGGGCCAGTCCAGCCCTGACATTAACCTAAAAGTGATGAATTTGTGACAGTAACAAGTGCTACTGGCCAATCAGAAAAAGTTTGCTTTTTGAAACCACTTAAATCTGCAATATGTAAACAAATGGGAATTCATCAGTTTTTGTATTTGCCCAATTCACGTAAGTCATTGTTGGGCAGAGATTTATTAGAAAATTTAGGAGCTGTGATAGAATTTAAACAAGGGAAGGTAGAATTTAGAGTTAGAGTTAGAGACCAGTTGATAGTGGCTTTGAGTTTAGCAGCTATTGAGAATAAAAATATACATAGCAACCAAAATTTAGAGCAGTTATTAGACCAGGTATATCCAGGAGTTTGGGCCACAGAAATCCTGGGAGGATCAAAGGGAGATGAACCCATGGAGATAAAATTGCAGAAAGGGAGAAAGGGACTAAACCAGTATCTAGAAGGCAATATCCTCTTAGATTGGAGGATAAAAAAAAAAAAAAAGGAATTGAGCCAATAATAAAAAAGCTCTTACAATTAGGACTTTTGATAGAATGTGAATCTGAATATAACACTCCAGTTTTGCCAGTAAAGAAACCTAGTGGGACCTGCCAATTAGTTCAGGACTTGAGGGCCATAAACAAACTTACAGAGAGCCTACACCCACTAGTAGCTAACCTCTACACACTATTAACAAAGTTGAGGGACACTTTGATTTGGTTTACAGTAATAGACTTGGCATCAGAGCAAAGCAGAATAGCTCTTCCTCTGTTCAGCCTAAGCCATTGCTAAGTTCACTTTTTTTTTCCCTCCTGCAACAGGGTGGGCTATCTAGCAGGATGTCTGCTTCGTTCACTGAAGGAGAGACAACCAGAACTGGACATAACCCAGCGAGACATCCTCTGTGTGGAAATTGCTGGGCTTTGCCACGATTTGGGTAAGGAGCACTTGAGATGACTTGTTGCTCTGTGAGAGCTAACCAGGATGAAAAGCTGGCTGTGAGATCAGAATGTGTGAGCTGGTTTGAGCTGCTCGGTGCATGGCCACATTCTGACAGGTTTTATCTGTTCTGTTTGGTCTGGAGTACATCTCTGGAGGCAATTCCACTTGGTGAATCTGTAGCCACTCTTAACTAGTGTTTTGTCTTGTTTCCAGATAGCGTTTAGAGTTCTGTCCTCAGTGACTGAAGTGTCCACTCCCTTCTGTGATGTCCTCAGGTCTCTTAAAACATTTCAGAGTGAAAAATTAGTGGCCCTTGCAAAAATAGCTATGATTATTTTATAACTACTTATTTTCTTCAGAGCTAACAGAGTAATTAATGTTCTCAGCGTTGTTGCAGGACTCGCCTGTGGGGTAGTTGGTGCAATTGGCTGTTAAGTGCAGTAATACTTAAGGTGTTTTAGGAAAGTGTCCTCACTGTAGCTGAATTTTCCTCACAGAAGATGGATAAGGAAATGTCTGGATGGTCACTCTCAGGAAGTTGTGGTTAAGGGCTCGCTGTCCAAGTGGAGCCCAGTGATGAGTGGCATCCTCTGGGATTGATGTTGGGACCAGCACTGTTTGGTGTCTCTGTCAGTGACATGGACCCTCAGCCAGTCTGCTGACGGCACCAAGCTGTGTGGCATGGTCACAAGCTGAAGGGAAGGGATGTGACATCCAGAGGGACCTGGACAGGCAGGAGAGGCTGCATGATCCTCATGCAGTTCAACAAGGCCAAGTGCAAAGTCCTGCCCCTGGGTCAGGGCAACCCCACTCACAAACACAGGTTGGGCAGAGTGGATTGAAAGCAGCTCTGAGGAAAAGGACTTGAGGCTGCTGGTGGATGAGAGGCTGGACATGCCCCTGCCATGTACACTGGTAGCCCAGAAACCAGCTGTGTCCTGGGCTCATTCCCACAGTCTGGGCAGAAGGATGAGGGGGGATTCAGCCCCTCTGCTCCACCCAGGTGAGCCCCACCTGCAGTGCTGCCTCCAGCTCTGAGAACCCAACATCAGAAGGACATGGAGCTGTTGGAGCAAGTCCAGAGGAGGCGACAGAGATGCTCCAAGGGCTGGAATACCTCTGATATGGAGACAGGCTGAGAGATCTGGGGGTGTTCAGCTCTCCTCTTTGAGAGGAGAAGGCTCTGGGGAGACCTTAGAGCACCTAAAGGGACTGCAAGAGAGGTGAAGAGGGACTTTAGACAAGGATCTGGAGTGTGCCCAGGTGGCCAAGAAGGGCAATGACATCCAGGTGTGTATCAGCAATAGTGTGGCCAGCAGGACTAGGGAAGTGATTCTCCCCCTGTGCTGGGCACTGGTGGAGCACCTTGAGTGCTGTGTCCAGTTCTGGGCCCCTCTCTTCAAGAAAGACATTGAGGGGTTGGAGCATGTACAGAGAAGGGAACGGAGCTGGGAAGGGTCTGGAGCACAAGGAGCAGCTGAGGGAGCTGAGGGAGCTCAGCCTGGAGAAAAGGAGGCTCGGGGAGCTTCTGCTCTCTACAACTGGCTGAAAGGAAGTTGGAGTCAGCTGGGAGTTGGACTCTTCTCCCAGGGAACAGTGGCAGAACCAGAGGGGACAGTTTCAAGCTGCACTATGGGAGGTTTAGGTTGCATATTAGAAGGTAATTCTTCACAGAAAGGGTGATTAGACATTGGTAGGGGCCGTCTGGGGGGTGATGGAATAACCAGCCCTGGAGGTGTTTAAGGAAGGACTGGATGCAGCACTTGGTGCCATGGTCTCATAGGTATGGTGGTGTTAGGTCATAGGTGAGACTCAATGATCTCAGAGGTCTTTTCCAACAGACTCGACTCAATGATCTCAGAGGTCTTTTCCAACCTCATTGATTCGGTGGTTCTGTGATTTGTTTTTTTAAGGTCTCTTCCAACCCAAACCATTCTGGCATTCTCTGATATGTCAAGATCAAGTCAAATACAAGAGAATTCATATCCTTAGCTTGCTCCAGAAATTTTTGCTGACAACCATGTCTGAGATTAAACCTGTGTAATCTCTATTTTTAAGGAGAGGTCTTTTCCAACCTCATTGATTCGGTGGTTCTGTGATTTGTTTTTTTAAGGTCTCTTCCAACCCAAACCATTCTGGCATTCTCTGATATGTCAAGATCAAGTCAAATACAAGAGAATTCATATCCTTAGCTTGCTCCAGAAATTTTTGCTGACAACCATGTCTGAGATTAAACCTGTGTAATCTCTATTTTTAAGGTCATGGACCATTTTCACACATGTTTGATGGAAGATTTATTCCACTCACTCGTCCAGACTTGAAGTGGAAGGTAGGCTTTTCACTCCTGAAGTAAAAGTTAAAAAAGTAAAAAGTAAAAATACAAACTGAAACGTTTAAAGGCAGAATAATGAGAGAGTTCTTGTGAGATTATAGCGATGGTCTGACCTTACTTTATTGCATCGTTTTGATGGCTTAAAACCTGAATGTTGTCTCCTAATCTTGTGAGTATTTCCTAATTGTTGTCTTTAACTGTGTCTGGGGAATGTCATGGCCATGAGCAGATTCAGCCTGACCAGCAGTGCAGAGGTGTGGGGAGAAGTGAGGGCACATGTCTTCCCTGAAAGTGCAAGTGCTCTTGGGCTGCTGTGTACATGTGGGAGATTTGTGTGTGGATGTGTGGACTTCTCTTCTGTAGGTGTCATTGTGCCTTCAAATGCTTGTTGAGGGCTTTCTACAGAACAGATTTTACAGCCCCAAGACACCAACTGGCAACTTCCTTTCCAGTCTGAGGTTTTAGCTCAAGGCCAGGATATTCAATACAGGGTTTAGTATTCAAACTGTCATAAATTTTGAACAGAGTTTCAATGGTTGTTTGCTGTGAATGCAATGCAACACAGTCCTTTCAGGCCTCTTTCTGCTTGAAATCCCCAAGCAAAACATGCTGAGTAAACTGATTCATCTTCTGCACAGCAGAACTGGTTATTTTGTCTTTTAGCATCGTAACTGCTTTGCTGCTGTTTGTTAAAATGCTAAATGAATAGCTTTCTGCTGAGGAGTGTGTTTCTGGACTCTGTAGACTGTGATTTCCTGTTTGGTTAGATGCAAAATGTCTAGACAGTCACCCAAGTGCTGCACTTTCACAGCAACATGCCCATGTGCCCTGCCAGGCAGTGCTGCTGGCTTGGGAGAAAGCTGTGACACTCCAGGAAAAGTGTTTAAGCTACAACATTTGGATGCTGGGGTTTTTTTTCACAGCATGAAACAGCTTCTGTTAAAATGTTTGAGCACCTGATCACTTCCAATGAACTGGAAAAAGTCATGACGTTGTATGGTCTTCTCCTGGAAGAAGATATGCTCTTCATCAAGGAGCAGATAGGAGGGCCCATAGATGAAACTGCCTGTGAGAAATCGGTGAGTTACTGCTACTGTGCTTATCCCAGGAAATGGCTTTACCTTTACTGAAAGAGAAGACAATTTTAATTTCTGTTAAATGTTATTTTTAGTCCCATAAGGTTCTGAGAATCCTGTCAGAATTGATGCTAGAGGAGTGTAGTGTCTATTTCCTACGTTGCTGGCAGGAGGTGGTAGCTTCACTATGTGCTTACATCTCCCTGAGAATTCTTACCCAAGAGTCTTCAGATTAGAGGAAAGCTTAAGATGCTATTTGTCTTTAGTGAACCTAACTGGTGATTGGGATCCACTCAAGGGTACTGAAGGAGCTGGCAGAAGTGCTCACTGAGGCACTTCCCATCATTTGCCAGCAGTCCTGGTTAACTGTGTGGTCCCAGTTGCATGGAAGTTGACAAGCAGAGTTGGAAGCATGATCTGAGGAACTACAGGCCTGTAAGCCTCACCTCGGTGCTGGAGAAGGTCGTGCAGCAGGTTGTTTTGAATGCTGTCATGCAGCATGTATAGGACAACCAGGGAATCAGGCCCAGCCAGACCCAGGGTTTAGGAAAGGCAGGTCCTGCTCAACTGAAGGGCAGGAAGGCTCTGCAGAGGGATCTGGACAGGCTGGATCAATGGGCCAAGGCAAATTGCAGCAACACCAAGTGTCAGCTCCTGCATTTGGGTCACAACAACCCCATGGAGTGCCACAGACTTGGGGCAGAGTGGCTGGAAAGTGTCTTCCACTGGCAGGGACTGTGCAGGGGTGACCCCACAGGCTGGTGTGGGGTCTGTGCAGTGATGCTGTGGTGCTGCAGATCTGTCCTGCCATGAGCAGCAGGTGTTTATGCACTGAACATAAACAGTGTCCTGGACATGTCTCAATGGCAGAGCTCTTTGTGGTCATGGTCTTTTTAGCCATGATGTGCTTTCTTCCTGCTGCTTACATACCTTTCCATTCCTATTCCTGTGATTTTTAGTATTTCTGTGATGCAGATTAGATAATTTGTAGATTTCTGTAATAATTTAGCTTTCTGTAATGCAGCTAACATGGAAGCCTTGTTTGCCTACAATGTGTTCTGCTTTCAGAACTTTAAAGCCACTTTGTGACATCTTTTGCTTAGCTGAAGAATCTTTACATTTTCAAGAAAATGTGCAACTTTTATCTCATTGTTTTGGTGTTGATTTCCTGTTACCTCATGGCTGAATTATCCCTCATGGGGTAGGGGTTTAAGTAGTAACTGTTTAAACAATTTGGTTTAAAACATCTGAAAAATTGTTTTAAAACTGTGTTCTATAAAGTTGTATAGTTGATTGCAGAAGACTTAAAGACAGTGACAAAGTTTGTGAGTTTAACTAATTCCCTGAGGATGAAATCACTGCAACCTTTCCCCCTCTTTGTTGCTATGCTTTTTTGGCATTTCAAAGCTGCAGGCTTTGTGTTAGTAGAATGGCCAATGAAAAATTTGTGTCCATGGGTTTTATTCTTCCTGACCTTCTGAAGACAGGAGAGAGAATGCTGTGTGGCAGCAGGTCAAAAGAGGTGATTCTTCCCCTCTACTCTGCTCTCGTGAAACCCACCTGGAATATTGTGTGCAGTTCTGGTGCCCACAACATAAGAAGGACATGGAACAAGTCCAGAGGGGTCTAAAGTCTAGGTTGGATGTGAGATAAGTTTCTTCCTGTAAGAGTGGTAAGACAGTGGCACAGGTTGCCCAGAAAGGCTGTGGCTGCCCCAGCCCTGGCAGTGTTCAAAGTTGGATTGGATCAAGCCTTGAGCAACCTGCTCTGGTGGGAAGTGTCCATGCCCAGGGCAGGGGGTTGGGATCTGTAAGGTCCATTCCAACCCTTAAATTCTATGATTCTAATGCCTGACAGCTTCTGGAAACTCTTCTCTTGCCTTTGTGTTTTTTGCTACCTCAGTGTTGGATGTTTATCACAGGGAAGCTCAAAGTGTATTCCCACTGTCTTTTAAAAACTGACCTGCTCTGGTGGGAAGTGTCCATGCCCAGGGCAGGGGGTTGGGATCTGTAAGGTCCATTCCAACCCTTAAATTCTATGATTCTAATGCCTGACAGCTTCTGGAAACTCTTCTCTTGCCTTTGTGTTTTTTGCTACCTCAGTGTTGGATGTTTATCACAGGGAAGCTCAAAGTGTATTCCCACTGTCTTTTAAAAACTGTTTTGACATTGCACACTTGAACTCCTTGTTGTTTCTGATGGTTTTTTTCCTGTCTCCTGTTAGTGGCCCTACCGTGGTCGACCAAAGGAGAAAAGTTTCCTCTATGAGATAGTAGCTAACAAAAAAAACGGCATTGACGTTGACAAATGGGATTACTTTGCAAGGTACAAATCTTACATTTTTTGTTATGAATTGCTACTGAAAAATATGCTGCTGTATGTACAAATCTGATCACATTGCTAAACACTCTCTCTGGAATGTTTTTAGGGATTGCCATCACCTCGGAATCCCGAATAACTTTGACTACAAGCGGTTGCTTGTCTTCAGTCGGGTCTGTGAGGTACAAAACCAGAAGCACATCTGTTCCCGTGACAAGGTGAGCAGTGTGTGGGGGCTGAAGGACCCTCAGCAGCACCCTGAGAGCACCAAGGGGAGCTGCACCCTGTGGCAGGGAGTGCTGGGGGGCCCTGCAGGACAATGCTTTAGCCCAAGAGATGAAGAAGTGGTTGGTGCTCTGAAAGCTTTTCTCAAGACCTGCTGGTTTGAGGAAAGGAGGGACAGAGCAAGTCACTGTTGGAGAGGGTTCCTGGTGGGTCCTTCCAGGGGACACTCTGCACACCCCTCAGCTCTGCATGATCCTCTTCCAGGGCTTCTGAGCAGGAGGTGGCTGTGGCTGTGCTGAGGGGCTGCTAAAGGACCAAGAGGTCCTCTTCTCTGCCCACCCTCCTGGGGTCACTGTCAGCTCTGCTCTCCCACCAGGGCCTGAATCTGCTTCGTTCTGCTTTCTGCTGTGAGTGGGAGGAGACAGCTCATTTGATTGATTGAGTGGTTTTAGTTTTCGAGAGAGAAGTTAAAAGCTGGGTGGTTTTTTTGTTTCAGGAGGTTGCAAATCTGTATGAGATGTTCCACACCCGGAATTGCCTGCACCGGAGAGCATACCAGCACAAGACTGGCAACATCATTGAAATAATGCAAGTATAGTCTCCTTTTCCTGCATTCCATTTGGTTTTGAATTTGTGAAACTTTATGTCCATTAGGAATATTCAGGTAATCCATAAGGTGTGACACAGAATAAAAGCCACTGCTGATTCTTGTGGCAAGACTTAGTGCTTAGAGTATCACAGAGGTTGTGATTAATGAAACAGAAAGAGGACAAAACATCCTTCCACCTGAAATTAAATTAGAGGAAGATTACTAAAGCCCTGAAGAAGCACAAGACCAGGGTGTGCTCAAGCTGTTTTAACTGCTGACAGCTGAAATTAAATCTATATCTGCAAGTTAGAGACCACAGCTCAAACTGGCTGGTTACCAGAGCAAGGCTTCTGACAGTAATGAGCTCAGCTGAGGCCAGGCCTTGTGTTTAGACAACACAGGAGTTGTTCAGGGCCCACTCAGCTGGCTGCTTGCTGTTGTACCTCTTGTGGGTGTCTGTAGAAGTTTCCCTGTAACACTATTCTTTTTACTTCTCTTGAAAATCAGAAATACATGTATGCCCAAGTGTTTGTTCATTAGGATCATGTCTGCTAGGTAAACATCTGCTGAGTTTGGGAGAAAGGAACATTAGGGATTACACAGTACAAGAGTGATTTGGACTGCTTTGATTTCATAAGCTTCAGTTCCTGTTTTAGGGATCCTCTTAAAACTCAGACTAAAAGTGCTAAGGTTTGACAGTAGCTGCATATGAGGAGTAAAGCAACCAGGAAATTGAGTTCTTGGCTTCCCATATTTATAGCAGCACTTCCAAATGAGTGTCTGAGCTGGAAATGACAGTGAGGTACAGAGGACTCTGGAAGAACTTGATCTTTAGAATGTCATTTTTTCCCACCTGAAAATACCACGTGTTTCTGATGCTTTCCCTTTGCAATGCTTTGTATCCTCTGGGTTAACTCATGGAGCAAACACTCTGTGAAAGGATATTGCTCTCTCATATATGTGGTCACTCACTGCAGCTGAGTGACCATGGCACTGTCTTGCAGGGTCCTGCAATCATCTCAGCAATGTTAGACTCGGTCTGAAGCAGAACAAAGTGAACTTGCTCATTCAGCTAAAGTTAAGGTCTGATCTGGACCTGTTTGCAGTGAATGGAAATCTCTTGAAATGTGCAGTGACAGCACAGAGACAGGAGATCCTGCAGTATGACCAGCACCTGCTGTGTGCTGGGGATGTGGTTTTGTCTGTTGTCTTCTCTTTGTAACATACTCATTTATTTCCTTTTTGACTTGATCAATAAGGTGCTTTAAAATGATGTTATCCTAAAGTCTGAATTTTGTCTCAAACTAGGATTACAGAAGCCTTTCAAAAAGCAGACAAATTTTTTGAAATAAGAGGCTCTGGAGGAAAAGTATATCAGATTTCTACAGCTATTGATGACATGGAAGCCTACACTAAGCTCACTGGTATGAGATCTCACAATTTTTTTAAAATAAGAGCACACGAGTGCCTGTTAAAGTGCTCTTTATAAAGTTTTGGTTCACAGTTAGGGCAGGCCTCGGCTATCTAATCCCTGTGCCCTCATCCTCCTGGGAGAGCAAGATCATCTAGTTCTACAAAGAAAGGCTGAGACCCTACAAGGACAGGCTGAGAGAGCTGGGGCTGTTCAGCCTGGAGAAGAGAAGGTTATGTGGAGACGTCAGAGCAACCTGCCAGGAGCTGAAGGGGCTCCAGGGAAGCTGCAGAGGGACTCTTGGGTAGGAACTGCAGGGACAGGACAAGGAGTAATGGAGAGAAACTGAAAGAGGGAAACTGAGATTAGATATTAGGAAGAAGTTTTCTCCTGTGCTGTTTTTTTCTAGTGGTGAGACACTGGCACAGGTTGCCCAGGGAGGTTGTGTTTGCCCCAGCCTTTGCAGGGGCAAAGCCAAAGTCTGCTCCTCCTGCTCAGTGCTGTGAGGCACCAGCATCCCTCTGGCTGGTGTTCAGAGCTGCAGCATGGGGGGTGGAGGTCAGTGTGGGCCGGGCAGACCCTGGGCACTCAGTGGGTATGGGTGGCTGCAGGGCAGAGGGTGCTGCTGGGCCTGCTCAGGAGTCCTGCTGAGTACTGGCAGCTCTTGCAGCACCTGTCAGCTACAGCTCATGAGGACTCCCAAAGCATCTTTCCTGAGTGGCAAGGCCACTCTCCTGAGTTTCCACCACTGAGCCTTGGCTGGCCCACAATGAAACTCAAGAGCTTCTATCTGGTTTGTGGATGAGGTAACAGAGCCTGAGGGCACTGTTGCAGAGGATGCTGTGTGCCTTAGCCTGTGTCATGCTAAAGGCCTTCTGCTGGCAGTCCTTCATCTGCCACAGCCATTTGCAGCCTGACCACAGACCTGCTGCTGCACAGAGTGCTGAGGTGAGGAGCTGCATGTCCCCTCTGTCACTGTGTGCCTCTGCTCAGGGCAGGAGAAGGGGCTGGCTTTGAGGGGCAGTAGCTGTTAGAGAACAGGAATTGCAGTGATGGGTCATAGAAGGCCAGGCAGAAAGCAGGAACAGAGGTGAAGTTCTTCATGGGCTAGGACCTGTTCCTGGGGGCTAGCTGAACTGTAAGATCAGCTGTCATGGCAAGTCAGCACCAGGGTCCTGCTGCAACTGCCTGGTGAGTAGCACAGCTCAGGGCAAGGACACCAGGACTGTCCCCTGCCTTTCACAGTCTGCCACAGCAAGGACCTGCTTGCTGGCCCCAACAAGGAGGGTTGAACAGCAAGGAGAGTGATCTGAAGAATGTGCCACCATCAGATGTAACAGTTGTCCATGAAGGACAAGAATGTTCTCCTCTTAAACCAAGACAATTCTTTCTCTCCTTGTAGTGGTTACAGCCTGGGGGCTCCTGAGGGCATAACAGGCTTGTTTCAGCTGTCCCTGAGGAGTGATGCTGCTGTGAAACTGTCCAGTTACCATGTTGATCTTTGCAAATGATCAACCTCTGTGAGGTTCTGCAGCAGAAAGTTTCCTAGCTTTCTTCCATGATGGGTGAAGAGCCACTGTTGGATTTTAATTTAATTTTACCAGCAAATCCTGGTTCTGGTAAAGGCTAGGACCCCAAACCATTCCTTGTCGCTACTGCTTTTGCACAGGGGAGGTGTTCATGTGCTCCTTATTTCCCCTGCATTACCTGTTCTGAAGAGTCTGAAGAGACCTGGTCTAGGGTTCCTTGTGGAGAAGTTCCTGACTTTGATTGATCTTGTCCATAAAAACAACCCTCAGCTGAAGGTGTATGTGGCTCACAGCTGCTTCTGGAGTGCATTGGAAGCTCTTTCAGTCAGTTGCAGCTCTAGGCAGGGTGTTGCAGGGCTGTGCTTGCCGCATGTGTTGAAGCTGCCCAGGTGGTCCTGGCCAGGGCATGGAACAGCCCCAGGGTGTAGTGTGGTGGCTGTGACAGCTCAGCAGCATCCTGGCAGCAGCAGGTCTCTAGGATAGTTGAAAATAACCTTCCTGCTCTGAAGCCACATCAAAAGAAACCTCTGTCTGCTGCTCAGATTGATAGGGGGAAACTCACTGCATGTGTCACTGTCACGTGGAGACAGGAGGGAGGACTTTGATGGCATCCAAAGTCTCAGAAACTCTGAGGGGTGACTGGCAGCTCTTCATTATTTTACAAGACAGAGAACTCTTGTCCTGAGCCAGTTAGTGCTGGGGATTAGGATATTCTGCTGAACAAAGAGTGGCTAAATAAGAAGAGACAGTAATGTCCAGTGAACTAACAAAACATGTTGCAAGGGTGAGAATTGAGCTGGTATTTCTGCCAAACCATTGTGAATCTGATGGAATTAAATAATATTGTGACTTTTCCTGGTCTTAGTTCAGTCATTCTCTGAAAATGTCCGTCCTGAACCAGCAATTTTTCTGGTTGCTTTAACCTTTGCTCCTGTTCGTGCGTTTTGCTGTGGCAGTGGATTGTAAAACACTTAACAAAAATCAATGCAACTTTGGCAGACAATGTCTTCCTGGAAATCCTGCACTCGAGTCACCCAGGCCTGGAGGAGGCACGAGAAATCCTGCGTAAAATAGAGCGACGTGAACTGTACAAGTTTTTGGGAGAGACTCGACCTGAGACGAAGAAGGAAATTGTAAAGGTAATGTCCTTTGGTGGAAGGTCCTGAATTCTGTCCCTGTAAATGTTCTCAGAATTCCTGACCATCCCTTTCTCTCTAGCTCCATGTGGGTTTGGTTTGGTTTGGGGTGGTTTTGTTTTGGCTATTTGCTATTCCAAAAATAGTGTCCAAAATTTTCTTCCTGTGTTTAAGTAGGTGAGCCATGAAATGTGTTAGAGGAAGCTGGGGAGAGTTTTATCTACAGTCAGGATGGCAAGAGGTGGTAATTCAGAAGCTGATATTTTCAGGAAAAAAGCTTCTGAAAAATACAGAATTGCATAAAAAGCTGTTACAGCCCGGGGATCAAGGTCATTAGAGCTTCTTGTGTTCATGACAATTTCAAAGTAATAGGGAACACATTTGCTTTGAATCATAATTTTGTGCTTTGCTTGAGAATAAACATCAACCTGCTGAATTTTTGGGTGTTAAATTCTATACTTAGCATGAGCATGCATGTGTTTTGTCCAGGGTTTTTCACGAGTGCCTGTC